TTACAGTCGTTACGATTTTTTATACCTTTTAAATTGCACTCTACATAGTTTGTTTTCCCTTTCAGCGCGGCAAATTCTTCGCTGCACTTTTCAATGAAAGCTGAGATATTAACATGTTGTTTGTTCAACATGTCTCTAACTTCGTTTTTCAATATTTCAAAATTTATTTGAAAACATTTTTCGAAATTAGGTATCTTGGACATATTTGAGCTGACAAATAAAGGGAGCTTGTCCAACATGTTAGCTGCTACCATATTTTTCAATAGCTCAATGCAATCCACCAATTTGTCCTTTTTTTGAGTGCCATTTGTTAATAATTTTTCAATTTTTTCACATTTCAGGTTAACGAACTCACTTTTCAAAATTTTCGAAGCAGCTACAATATCGTCATTGGTATAGAAATCAGCAGTATTACAAATATACACTTCATTTTCGAGCAAATTAATATTATTAGTTAAAAAATACAAAATTTCGCTAACAACGACCTTTCTGGCAGCCATTTTTTCCCCTACATCATACATAAATACATACATACATACATAAATACATACAAACAAACAAACATGCAAACAAACAAACCTACACACATAATTTTATGAGCCACCTGCTCAGGTCTTTTTATCAATAAAAAAATTCAAAGCACATGGAACATGATGAATTTATGAATTAATAATAACCATAATAAAAATAATAATAATAATAATAAGAAGAAGAAGAAGAACCTTTTTGTTATTTTTATTATTTTGTTGTTGTTGTAACGTTAAAAAACCTACGTTGTTTGCAACCACTCGCTGTAAATATACTTGCTCAAGGTGGAATAATGATAGAGAAAACACTTCTACTACTACTACTACTACTACTACTACTACTATTATTATTATACTACTACTATTACTACTACTACTACTACTACTACTACTACTACTACTACTACTACTACTACTACTACTACTACTACTACTACTACTACTACTACTACTACTACTATTACTGCTACTACTACTGCTGCTACTACAACTGCTTTTAATATTACTACTAATTATAATAATACTACGGCCACTACTACAACTATTGCTGCTACGATGCGGCTACTACAACCTGTGGTAGTTGCTGCTACTACTACTACTACACTAACTGCAATTACTGCATTAATGATGGTTATAATAAGACAGAAATTGGAAATACCTTCGTTCATGTTTCATGTGTTTATGTTTGATTGCTTATAAATGCGCCTATTTTTTGGTATTCTTTGGTAGGT